GATTTATGATAATGAATGATGATGATTGATGATGATTTATGATGATGAATGATGATGAATGATGATGATGAATGATGATTATTTACGATGAAAATGTAAGATTATGACTGATAATGATTTATGATGATAAATAAAGATGAATGATGATTATGATGATGATGATTATTGTTTGATGACGGTCGACGCGCTCTAACGCACCTACCACCCTCCTTATGTACACGATTGGGCTCGCTCAGTGAAACATCCACGCGTGAGTCTCTGAACTCTCGTTGCTTCTTTGGACACATTTCAGCTCTCGTCAATAGCCATTTTGTACGAATAAAGAATTTATTTGCGAATAATAAATGAGCCTCCTCAACTCAAACCAGACAACAGAGACCACTGCGCTTGTACCGCATCATTCCATCGCTTCTCCAGCGCGTGCGGCGCACGTTTAGCCCCCCTTCTATCCGGCCAAGGCAGAAGCTGCTCGTGCAGCTTCTGCACGACCCAGCCAACGCAGCATACCTCGCCCGCCTTGCAGCAAGAGCTCATCGGATGGAACGGTGTCCAGATTTTTGCAAGGATCTGCGAGCTCCACACGCAATCCACACACACGCAGAGATCCCCCGTGTAGCCTGTAACCGACTGTAGGGGCAAGTGCTCTTAGCGAGCAGCACCTGTGAAGGCCGGAACGGTACACGAGGGGGTGGGTGGCCAGCACCACGCCCGACCGCCTTTGTCTCCCTAGTGACGATGTGTACTCACCGCACTAGGTACTCAATTGAGGCTGAGTCGACCTAGGGGAGGCCCAGGACCGGTTCAGATAATCGTCACCGGTGTTGCCCGTGTACGGGAATCAAACCCGGGTCGCCGCGTTCATAGCGCAGCGTGCTAACCGCTACACTACCGCTCTCCAACACACACACACAGACAGACATACTTTCTGACACTCTCACACACACACACACAGACATATTTTCTGACACACTCACACACACACACAGACAGACATACTTTCTGACACTCTCACACACAGACAGACAGACATACTTTCTGACACTCTCACACACACACAGACAGACATACTTTCTGACACTCTCACACACACACAGACAGACATACTTTCTGACAATCATACACACACAGAAATACATACTTTATGACACTCTCACACACACAGACAGACATACTGTCTGACACTCTCACACACACACAGACAGACATACTTTCTGACACTCTCACACACACAGACAGACATACTTTCTGACACTCACACATACACACAGACAGACATACTTTATGACACTCTCACACACACACACAGACAGACATACTGTCTGACACTCTCATACACACACAGACAGACAGACATACTTTCTGACACTCACACACACACAGAAATACTTTCTGACACTCTCACGCACAGTGCATATTTTACGGATCGCAGCACACGGTGCCACCACTGCCGTGCGAAGAGAGAGGTGGGGGGGCGAGAGCCAGGGGGAGGCGATGCTTGTGAATTGTGCAGGAAGGGTGCACGAGGGATAGAAGAGTGGCATGCAACAATAACCCTCCTCCATCCCCGCGATTCGATCAAGCAATCGATTAGTAGTATCGTCATCATCGTCATCGTCGTTGTTAAAATAATCATTGTGGTGACTTTAACGAGAAGGATTTCGCAGGCAATGTTATATGTGTTTAAATTGATATTTGATTTGGGCTGCGTTACGATTCTGGCCAAATTCCTAATTTGTGTCGTGAAAACCTCCACCACCCGACACCACCCGACACGACTAAACTATTAAACTAAACATTGTTATTGTAACATAATAGCGTACGAGCTGTATAGTTCGTTGCTAAACCCTGTGTGTTTGGTATGCTTCTCTCTCTGTGTCCCCTGTTGTATCTGTGTTAGTTCCCCCCTACTTGGGTGTCTGTATATACATCTGGGGTTGTGTCTTTCCTCTCTCTCGTAAATTTAGCTCTTCTGTACCTGATGATGGCTGCTTGTGTTGCAACAGAAACTTCGTACGCTATTATGTTATTTTATTATTTCTTATTTATACGTGACTTTACCGAAAAAAAACAAAGAGTAATTCCTGCAGTCACGAAAGCTTCGAATCAAGTCTCATTGTTTTTGTATTTGACCAGGTAAGGCGCACTGAGCTGTTTAGTTCGTTTTCAAGATCGACCTGGCTATCACAACGAAGTGGGCTCATCATGGTGTGGACATGTACAGCAGCCAAATACTCTGAACGCGTGGTGACGTCGATTCTAAAATGTGGAGGGGGACAAAATCGGATGATCTGGAGAAAAATCCACGCGACCACGGCGAGAGAGACACCACAACCTCCAAATATACAGCAGCAGGCGCCAGGGTCGGGGTCGAACCCAGGACCTCATGTATACCAGGCGAGGTAGTTAACATCTCATAGCCACCGTGATGATGAGAGAGAGACACCACAACTTCCAAATTTACAGCAGGCGCCAGGGTCGGGGTCGAACCTAGGACCTCCTGTATACCAGGCGAGGGAGTTAACATCTCCTAGCCACCGTGATAATGATGAGAGAGAGAGACACCACAACCTCCAAATATACAGCAGGCGCCAGGGTCGGGGTCGAACCCAGGTCCTCCTGTATACCAAGCTAGGTAGTTAACATCTCCTAGCCACCATGGCGCACCTGACCAAATCGTCTATTTCGGTTCGATCGGCTCACTCATCGGAGGGGGACAGATGAGCGGGGAATTTTCACGAAACCAAAGTTAAATCAAAAAGCCTCCTCCTTGGATGTCAGAATTGTGAATTCCTCAACGTCGTTCTGATTTCCCGGAGCTTGATTGACCACCTGATGGCGCTTGGCGTAAGTTTCAACATCGAGACGTCGCGGATCCAACGGTTATTGTTGTGTCTTGGACTGTTTGTTTATTGTTGTTTTGCTGCCTTGCCCAAGGTTGTATTTGCTGTTGACCGATCTGTAAGAATGTTTGCACGAGTACATTTTGCACAGTACTTCCACGCTTTATTAAACGTCGATTTATTTTGAAGTGACCTGCTTGACTTTCCTCTATCATACCCTGATTTCATTTATTGTATTCTTTGTTGATGAACCTTGCTGAGCCCTAATCCCTGACTGCACATCTGTGACAAAAAGATTCACACCTTCCTCCAGTCCACATAAAGATTGTGATATAGGGACTCCTCTACTTACGAACGAGGTAGGTTCCAGACGTATGTTCATAAGTCGATTTGTTCGTAATTCCATTGTCGATTCCAAACATGTTGTACGGCAATGTACACGAAATACGGGGCATGGCTTTAAAAGTTCTATAATCTCCTGCAGATGTAGATGCCGCTGGTTCTTCATGTTCTGCAGATGTAGATGCCACTGGTTCTTCACGTTCTGCAGATGTAGATATCACTGGTTATTCACGTTCTGCAGATGTAGATGTAACTGGTTCTTCACGTTCTGCAGATGTAGATGCCACTGGTTCTTCACGTTCTGCAGATGTAGATGTCACTGGTTCTTCACGTTGTGCAGATGTAGATGCCACTGGTTCTTCACGTTCTGCAGATGTAGATGCCACTGGTTCTTCACGTTCTGCAGATGTAGATGCCACTGGTTTTTCACGTTCTGCAGATGTAGATGCCACTGGTTATTCACGTCCTGCAGATGTAGATGCCACTGTTTCTTCACGTTCTGCAGATGTAGATGCCACTGGTTCTTCACGTTCTGCAGATGTAGATGCCACTGGTTCTTCACGTTCTGCAGATGTAGATGCCACTGGTTCTTTACGTTCTGTAGATGTAGATGCCACTGGTTCTTCACGTTCTATTGCACGGCGGTTGAACTTATGACTCTCGGTCCGAACAGGCGACTGAACATACGGACAGGTTTGTTCGTATTTCTGAAAGTTCGTAAGTCGAATGCTCGTAAATTGAGGAGTCCCTGTATTCTGAAGAATTGTTCTTCCGCTCACCAGGTGAGCGAAGCTGGGACGATAGCAATTCGGTAATTCGGCCGCGTGGTTAAACTCGTGCACGCCACGTGACAATTTAACTTGGTTTTGGTTGGGTCAGGTGGCGGAGGGGTTCTGAGCGACACAAATTTGGTCACTTCACGAATTCAATGTTTTGGTGTTGCGTGTTGTCCTTCCCCCGCACCTCCGATGAGCACGGTTGGCTACGTACCGTGCAAAAAAGTTCAACATGCATACAAAAATACGACCTCTGGTGGCTGTGTGAGCCACGTGAAGCCATACAAAATAATAAAAAACATTTTGGCGATGGTGCTGCTGCGTTAGCAGTGGGTGCACGATCACAAATAACAACAACAACACTCCACACATTCGTAAACACACACCGTAGCCTTCAAGAGAACAAACAAATAATAACAGCCAACGTTTCGGACAATGGCCCATCTATAACAGCACATAGAGAGAGGGACCATTTCCAGAAATATCGCCTGTATTATATATTTTGTAAAGCCCACAGTGTTATTGACGCATGTGTTGAGTTTTTTTTTTTACATGTGAAAAAATGTAGTTATTATTATCTTATAAATCAAAACACATTTCGCAGTGCCACATCGGAGAAGTGAAAGCGGTTGAGGCACATTTCTACAATAAAGTTCCCACCTACCCTAAAGATCCCTCCCTCCCATCCACACCCAATCTTCCCCAACCCTCCCCTCCCCTCCCATGTCCCTCTCTGCCTCTCAGTCGTAAGTGTAATATTTACAAGCGGGTTGCTGCTGATGCCGCTACCATCACTACCATCACAAGCGTTTATTTCATTTTTTTTAAGAAAAGGAGACATCATCCCCGCGCTACAAAACGGTAAAGTATGAAAGTCTGAGCGACACGTGGACGTGGTGTGGACATTTTATCTGTTTGAGATACATACCCACTCCCTCCCTCTCCTACCTCCCTCCTACCCACCCCCTCCTCCCTCCCTCCCATCCCCTCCTCCCTCCCACCCCTCCTCCCTCCCACCCCTCCTCCCTCCCACCCCCTCCTCCCTCCCTCCCACCTCCTCCATCCATCCCTCCCACCTCCTCCATCCATCCCTCCCTCCCCGTCCCCCGCTGCAGGCTGAGAAGGACTGATCCCTGGTCCTGACGACGAGGACTGCTGTGAATCGCTCTCTCGAATTGTTGGGTTGGTTCAACTTCCACAGGTGAGTCGGGGGCGACGGAGGAGAGGGGAGGGGGGCGATGGAGGAGAGGAGAGGGGAGGGGGGCGACTCGCAAACCACGTGGTTAGCGCGCAGGTGATGCAGTAATAGGTGCTCGCTAACACCGTGGCGTGGGTGGGAAGAGCGAGAGACGCGGGCCTCCGTGCCCAGCGATAAACTCGCACAGGTGGTGAGTCACGCGAGAGCGAACACGGTGGTGGCGGTGGAGAGGGATCGAGTGTTGATGGCTCCGAGTGTTGATGAGTCCGAGTGTTGTTGGATACGAGTGTTGGTGGGACCGAGTGTTGAAGGATCTGTGTATTGATCGATCCGAGTGTTGAAGGATCTGTGTATTGATCGATCCGAGTGTTGATGGACCCGAGTGTTGATGGGTCTGAGTGTCGAGTCCAAGCGTTGTTGGGTCTGGTTGTTGTTGAATTTGAGTGTTAATGGGATCCGAGTGTTGATAGATCCGAGTGTTGATGGATCCGGGTGTTGATGAGTCCGGGTGTTGATGGATCCGAGTGTTGATGAGTCCACGTGTTTATGGGTCCACGTGTTGGTGGCTCCTAGTGTTGAAGAGTCCGAGTGTAACAGGATCCGAGTGTTGATGGGTCCGAATGTTGATGGATCCGAGTGTTGATGAGTCCACGTGTTGGTGGCTCCTAGTGTTGATGAGTCCAGTGTAAAAGGATCCGAGTGTTGATGGGTCCGAGAGTTGATGGATCCGAGAGTTGATGGGTCTGAGTGTCGAGTCCAAGCGTTGTTGGGTCTGATTGTTGTTGAATTTGAGTGTTGATGGATCCGAGTGTTGATGAGTCCGAGTGTTTAAGGATCCGAGTGTTGATGAATCCGAGTGTTGATGGATCCGAGTGTTGATGAATCCGAGTGTTGATGAGTCCGAGTGTTGATGGGTCCACGTGTTGGTGGCTCCGAGTGTTGATGAGTCCGAGTGTAACAGGATCCGAGTGTTTAAGGATCTGAGTGTTGATGAGTCCGAGTGTTAATGGATCCGAGTGTTAATGGATCCGAGTGTTGATGGATCCGAGTGTTGATGGATCTGAGTGTTGATGAGTTCGAGTGTTGATGGATCCGAGTGTTGATGAGTCCGAGTGTTGATGGGTCCACGTGTTGGTGGCTCCGAGTGTTGATGAGTCCGAGTGTTGAAGGATCCGAGTGTTGATGAATCCGAGTGTTGATGGATCCGAGTGTTGATGAATCCGAGTGTTGATGAGTCCGAGTGTTGATGGGTCCACGTGTTGGTGGCTCCGAGTGTTGATGAGTCCGAGTGTAACAGGATCCGAGTGTTGATGGGTCCGAGTGTTGATGAGTCCACGTGTTGATGGATCCGAGTGTTGATGGATCCGAGTGTTGATGTGTCCGAGTGTTGATGAGTCCGAGTGTTGATGGATCCGAGCGTTGATGAGTCTGAGTGTCGAGTCCAAGCGTTGTTGGGTCTGATTGTTGTTGAATTTGAGTGTTAATGGGATCCGAGTGTTGATGAGTCCGAGTGTTGAAGGATCCGAGTGTTGATGGATCCGAGAGTTGATGGGACCGAGTGTTTATGGATCGAGTGTTGATGGATCGAGTGTTGATGGATCCGAGTGTTGATGAGTCCACGTGTTGATGGGTCTGAGTGTCGAGTCCAAGTGTTGTTGGGTCTGATTTTTGTTGAATGTGAGTGTTAATGGTATCCGAGTGTTGATGAGTCCGAGTGTTTAAGGATCTGAGTGTTGATGAGTCCGAGTGTTAATGGATCCGAGTGTTAATGGATCCGAGTGTTGATGGATCCGAGTGTTGATGGATCTGAGTGTTGATGAGTTCGAGTGTTGATGGATCCGAGTGTTGATGGATCTGAGTGTTGATGAGTCCGAGTGTTGATGGGTCCACGTGTTGGTGGCTCCGAGTGTTGGTGGGTCCTGGTGTTAATGGATCCGAGTGTTGTTGGCTCCGAGTGTTGATGAGTCCGGGTGTTGATGGATCCGAGTGTTGATGAGTCCACGGGTTTATGGGTCCACGTGTTGGTGGCTCCTAGTGTTGATGAGTCCGAGTGTAACAGGATCCGAGTGTTGATGGGTCCGAGTGTTGATGGGTCCGAGTGTTGATGAGTCCACGTGTTGATGGATCCGAGTGTTGATGGATCCGAGTGTTGATGAGTCCGAGTGTTGATGAGTCCGAGTGTTGATGAGTCCGAGTGTTGATGGATCCGAGCGTTGATGAGTCTGAGTGTCGAGTCCAAGCGTTGTTGGGTCTGATTGTTGTTGAATTTGAGTGTTAATGGGATCCGAGTGTTGATGAGTCCGAGTGTTGAAGGATCCGAGTGTTGATGGATCCGAGAGTTGATGGGACCGAGTGTTTATGGATCGAGTGTTGATGGATCGAGTGTTGATGGATCCGAGTGTTGATGAGTCCACGTGTTGATGGGTCTGAGTGTCGAGTCCAAGTGTTGTTGGGTCTGATTTTTGTTGAATGTGAGTGTTAATGGTATCCGAGTGTTGATGAGTCCGAGTGTTTAAGGATCTGAGTGTTGATGAGTCCGAGTGTTAATGGATCCGAGTGTTAATGGATCCGAGTGTTGATGGATCCGAGTGTTGATGGATCTGAGTGTTGATGAGTTCGAGTGTTGATGGATCCGAGTGTTGATGGATCTGAGTGTTGATGAGTCCGAGTGTTGATGGGTCCACGTGTTGGTGGCTCCGAGTGTTGGTGGGTCCTGGTGTTAATGGATCCGAGTGTTGGTGGCTCCGAGTGTTGATGAGTCCGGGTGTTGATGGATCCGAGTGTTGATGAGTCCACGTGTTTATGGGTCCACGTGTTGGTGGCTCCTAGTGTTGATGAGTCCGAGTGTAACAGGATCCGAGTGTTGATGGGTCCGAGTGTTGATGGGTCCGAGTGTTGATGAGTCTACGTGTTGATGGATCCGAGTGTTGATGGGTCCGAGTGTTGATGGATCCTAGTGTGGACGGATCCGAGTGTTGACGGATCCGAGTGTTGATGGGACCGAGTGCTGCTGGGATCCGAGTTTTTCAATGATGACCGCTAGATGGTCACGAGGCGTGGTTGTTGCTCTGTAATCGAGCAAAAGGAAACCTTAAGCACGAGCTGTGAGGGCAGTTGGCTGCCTGTCCACCTGTGGTGACAACGCGACAGCATAGACAGACAAATCACGGAGGTAAATACAACAAGAAGATGAGAGACGAGAATTCAACAAACCTAAGAATCCAGAGGTTGAACACGAAATTTAGCACTCTTCTGAAATTCGTGGTCCGCCAGGTAAGTGTCTAACTGTGTTGTTGACCTGACTGGTTGTGTATCACGTGTTTTTTCTTAGGTTTGTTGAATTCTCGTCTCTCATCTTCTTGTTGTATTTACCTCCATGATTTGTTCTTTACACCTGATGAAGATCGCTTGTGTTGCGGTCGAAACGTCGTGATTGATATATTTTAATATAATTTTATGGTATTTCTACATACGTGACTTTACCGAAAAAAACAATGAGAAGGCGTTATGCTTGACTTTGGGCACTGGGCGGGGCTACCGGAGCAGTGGGCGGAGCTACCTGAGCACTGGGCGGGGCTACCTGAGCAGTGGGTGGAGCTACCTGGGCAGTGGGCGGAGCTACCTGAGTACTAGTCGAGGCTACCTGAGAAGTGGGTGGAGCTACCTGAGCAGTGGGCGGGGCTACCTGAGCATTAGGCGGGGCTACCTGAGAAGTGGGTGGAGCTACGTGAGCAGTGGGCGGAGCTACCTGGGCAGTGGGCGGAGCTACCTGAGCAATGACGAGCTCCCTGAGTAGTGGGTGGGGCTACATGTGTGGTGGGCGGGGCTACCTTTCAAGTTTTCAAATTTAATTTATTAGGTATAGCCCTGTGAGCCATGCGGCTCTTAAGTTGGGTGCAACCGCAACAAACAAAATTTGAACAGAGAGCATCTTAAAGCGACAAACGCGTAACAGAAACATCCTGGAATAAACCAGCAAATCTTCCACACACAAAAAAACTTATTAAAACGTTGTGTAGTGGGCAGGGTTACCTGAGCAGTGGGTGGAGTTACCCGAGTCGTGTGCCGGGCAACCTGAGCAGTGGGTGGAGCTACCTTCGTGTGCGGGGCCACCTGAGTAGTGGGCGGAGTAGCGCAAACAGTGGGCCCCGCTACGTGAAGAGTATTTGGAAGCCTACGGCCGCCTGGGAGGGGCTTGGTAGATGTGGGCGTGACTATATAAAGGTGGGCGGGGCATCTGGGTGGGAGGAGCCTCGCCGTTGCGTCCCCGTTGAGCCTCCCAGCCAGCCAGCCATGTCAGAATCAGAATGTTCACTTTGACGGGAGGAATCCCAAGGCTTAGACTGGCGTCAGGGGGGGGGGGTTGAACTGCTTCAAGGGAAGTCGAAGGAAGTTCCCACTCAAACGACCATTGAATGCAGTGATCATCTTTCTGCTGAGCCCGTGGTGGAAATTCCCCGTTCCCTATTGCGGACGGTTGACGAGTACAGTGTCTCGCTTGGACATCTACCGTTTGGCTTCCCCACAACGTGGTGCTCCTTTTATATACCCCACCTCCCAAAGCTGTGATGGGCTGAGTCAACCGCCCAACCGGGATTTGACCTCGTGACCTTTCCCATTGCTAGCCGCTCGCTCTGCCGCTACGATCTTCCGGGCTGGATGAACCCCCGTGTCAACGGAGACTCGGCGACGACCTTGACGACCTTGACGATGACGACGATGATGATGATGACAATGGCGGTGATGGCGACGACGATGATGATGATGATGAGCATAAACCATCACGCGAAATCTGGTCATCCTCGAAGCAGCGACTTTTGGCTGGCCATAAAACAGAGACGGTGGTCACCGCGTCGCGCGCTTTCAGATGCGCGTCTGCAGCCGTCTGGAACGCTCTCCCTTCCCATATTAGGAAGCCACTGGAGTTATGCAATTTCTAATCATCTAGATTGAAAACTAATTTTTTTAGAACGGCTCTTTTTTGTTCAATTTATAGTCTTTCCACCACAGCGGTTGGCTACGTACGGTGCAAAAGATGTTCAACATAAACATCTGACGACGATGACGACGACGGTGTGTGTGTGTGTGTTTCTCTCCCTAGCCCCTCTCCCCCTCCCACCTTATCCGACCCCCCCCCCCCCCCCCCCACCACAGACCCCGCCATGTCCCTGCCGACCCCGGCGAGTTGCGTGCCGGGGGCCAAGTCGCGGCGTCGAGGAGGGGGGCCGCACTGCGCCCTGCGGGTGGCGCTGCCCGACGGACGGGCGCTGGAGCTGGCCGCCGCGGTGAGGTCACGAGCGCGACCCCTGACCCTTCCGCCGCTCACTCTCTGACCCGCGGCCGTGACCGTTAACCGGCCGTGATTTATTTTTGTACCTCTCCGTGACCCTGAGCGGCGCAGGTGAGTGTGACCGGGCAGGAGCTGCTGGCGCAGGTGTGTACGCTGCTGCGGGTCCGAGATTCGAGGTTTTTTGGAATCAGCATCTCAATCCGTGAGCGCCCTGCACTGTTACACGTGCCCTGCACTCCCGGTGTTTACACCCACACCGTGCGCTGTTACACGTGCCCTGCACTCCCGGTGTTTACACCCACACCGTGCACTGTTACACGTGCCCTGCACTCTCGGTGTTTACACCCACACCGTGCGCTGTTACACGTGCCCTGCACTCTCGGTGTTTACACCCACACCGTGCGCTGTTACACGTGCCCTGCACTCCCGGTGTTTACACCCACACCGTGCGCTGTTACACGTGCCCTGCACTCCTGGTGTTTACACCCACACCGTGCACTGTTACACGTGCCCTGCACTCCCGGTGTTTACACCCACACCGTGCACTGTTACACGTGCCCTGCACTCCCGGTGTTTACACCCACACCGTGCACTGTTACACGTGCCCTGCACTCCCGGTGTTTACACTCACACCGTGCGCTGTTACACGTGCCCTGCACTCCCGGTGTTTACATCCACACCGTGCGCTGTTACACGTGCCCTGCACTCTCGGTGTTTACACCCACACCGTGCACTGTTACACGTGCCCTGCACTCTCGGTGTTTACACCCACACCGTGCACTGTTACACCCTCAATATAGCATAATTTTGCTATAGTTTAACACCCACTCCTGCGCTCACATGCACTTAGTCATACACACACACACTCCTTACTCTCACACACACACTCACACTTTCTTATTCACACGAAGACAAAGATCTCCCGTATATTCCTTAACAGACTGTTGGGGCAAGTGCTGTTAGCGAGCACCTATGAAGGCCGGCACGGGACACGAGAGGGTGGGTGGCCAGCACCACGCCCGACCGCCTTTGTCTCCCCCGTGGCGATGTTTACACACAGCACTAGGTACTCATTTGAGGCTGAGTCGACCTACCGGTTGAGATAATCGCCACTGGTGTTGGCGGCCGTGAGCAGGAATCGAACTCGAATCACCAGCTTCATAGCGCTGCGTACTAACCAGGACACCACACACACTAACACTCACAACCACACCCTCTCAGGCACACTCGCATGCATGAAAACTCACCGACACCCATTCACTCTCACACTCGCTCATTCACACGCTCGTACGTTCACCCTTGCACGCTGACTCTCTCACACTCGCGACACTCTTACTCACATTCACATTCACACTCCACTCAAGTGGCGGTGATGTCACCAGAGCGCTCGTGCCATGCTAGCGGCCACCTGAAGTGTGGAAGGCCCATTGGCAGGAGGTCACGGAACAGATCCAGGTGCCGCGGGTTGACTGAGATGACTGGCAGATGCACCGACTCTGCTCCCCAACGTCCTGTGTTTTAGCCGCCCGGAGCTCTGCTCGTTGTTGTGAGCGTCGCTCCTCTCCGTTGTTGTTGGAGGGCGACTGCCTCCAACTCCTTCATGAGGAGCCTCCTTCACAGAGGCCGATCTTGACACTGCTGGTACCGGTTATCGGAAAGTCCACTCAGCTCTACAATCCTTCTGTACCGCATTAGTCCATACATTCTCTAGCCCATCAAACTCCAACGCACTAACACACACTCACTCTCTCGTGCACGTGTGAGACATTAATTCTAGATTTTGAAGTGTTCGTGGCTGCAAGGATCCATACTCTTTGGTTCTTTCGGTAAAGTCACGTAGGTAGAAAATAAAAATAATAATGAAAATAATAAAATGAAAATAACTAAATTAAATCACGACGTTTCGGGCACAACACAAGCGTCCGTCCACCTGATGTCTCCCTTGGAGAGTTGCAATATAGAACTCAAGAGAGTTACCCTCACCGGCGCGTAGTTTTAGACTGGCCACACAGCCTCTCTCCATGTGCGGTTGTGGCCGACATGGGCGCTGCTCGCTAGCAGCACTTGCCCCAAAAGCAAATACAGGCTATCCGATGCCTGTGCCTCTATACACACGTGCAATGCGCGCGTGTACCCGCGGCTGTGTGTGTGTGTGTGTGTGCGCTGCAGGGAACGAGCACGTGTTCATGGAGCCCCAGGGCAAGCTCGGCAAGTACTGCCCCAAGCAGTGGCTCCGGGAGGTGGCCCAGGTTTGTGTGGGGACACCCCCGTGGCACCCGCACATCCACAGACTGCCACCACAACCCCCCCCCCCCCACCACCACCCACACGCGCACCCCCTTCTTGTGGTGTTTTTGGGGGTGTTTTGCTCGACACTTAACGCAGATGAACCTAACCCACAGACGCTGCTCAACACTGACCCTGTCCCAAACCCTAACTCTGACCCTGTCCCAACCCTGTCCAAACCCTGACCCTGTCCCAACCCTGACCCTGTCCCAACCCTGACCCGACCCTGACCCTGTCCCAACCCTGACCCTGTCCCAACCCTGACCCAACCCTGACCCTGTCCCAACTCTGACCCTGTCCCAACCCTGACCCTGTCCCAACCCTGACCCTGTCCCAACCCTGACCCTGTCCCAACCCTGTCCCAACCCTGACCCGACCCTGACCCTGTCCCAACCCTGACCCTGTCCCAACCCTGACCCAACCCTGACCCTGTCCCAACCCTGACCCTGTCCCAACCCTGACCCTGTCCCAACCCTGACCCTGTCCCAACCCTGACCCTGTCCCAACCCTTACCTCACCCATCTTCACTCTTCACCAATCCTCACCTTTCACCAACATTCAAACCCCTCCCCAACCCTCGCCCCTCGCCGCCGCCCGCCCCAGGCGCAGGCTGCCGGGAGGAGTGGACCCCCTCTAACTGTCTTCTTCCGAGCCCAGTGCTACGTGGACTTGGCCCGCGCCATCCGGTGCGTGTACGGTACAGACACAAATACAAAGGTTCCCTCCCCCCGTATAGCCTCATTAGACCGTGGGGGCAAGTGCTATTTGCGAGCAGCATCCATGAAGGCCATGGTAAGGCAGCCCCAATTTAGCGCGGTTGACTACGCATGGTGCGAAAGAAGTTCAACACACGTGCATGAGGGTGCGTGGACAGCCCCACGCCCGGCCGCCTTTGTCTTCCCTAGTGGCGATGTTTACACACCGTAACCAGGTGCGCATTTGAGGCTGAGCCGACCTAGGCAAGGCCCAGGACCGGTTGAAATAATCGTCACCGGTGTTGGCCGTGAGCGGGTATCGAACTCGGGTCACCGGGTTTGTAGCGCAGAACACTAACCGCTACACCAAAAGAGGCCCAGGAACGGTTCAGAGACCCCCGTGTATAGCCTTTAACAAACCGTCGGGGCAAGTTAGCGAGCACGCACACACACACACGCACGCACGTGTCGCGGACCCGGTGTGTGTATGTGTGTGTGCGCTGGTCACCCACCCTCTCACGTGCCGTGCCATGGAGCCACCTGGCTGGTTCACCGTTATCATGACGAGCCCCTCTCACCTGTGGTGCGCGTTGTGCCTCCCGCAACCCCGCCACCGCTCCACCCCCTGCTCCCCGTCCCCAGGGACCCGGTCTCGAGGCACTGGTACTACGCGCAGGTGCGAGCCCAGGTGCGCGCGTCGCGGTGCGCGGGGAGGGAGGAGGCCTTCTTCTCGCTCGCCGCGCTCGCGCTGCAGTGCGACTTCGGGGACCTCGCGGTGGGGCCGGCCGGGGCCGCCTCGGGGAAGACGACGCGGGAGGACGCGGAGGCGCACGGGGACCCGACGGGGCGAGGTGGGGACCAGGGGGAACCGGCGCCGCCGCCGTCGCCGTCGTCGCCGCCGCCGCCTACTCGCCACGGCGACGCGGAGTACTTCGACCCCAGCGATTACTTCCCCGCGTGGGTACGCAGCGAGACAGTCGCGGCGAGGAGAAGGAGACGCAGGGGTGGGGAAAGTTTACGGCGCTTGCTCCCAACAGTCTGTTCAGGCTTTACGGAGTGGGGAGCGGGGGGGGGGTCTTTGTCTTTGATGGTGGCGGTGATGCAGCTGGTGTCGCACGTGCTAGGAATTAATGTGGATGATGGTGACAATGACGACGACGATGACGACGATGGGTGGCGATGTGGGCGCGTGCCAGGTGCTGTCCCGCCGGGGCCGTGGCTTCGTGCTGCGCCACGCGCCGCGTGCCCATGCTGAGCTGGCGGGGCTGGCACGGGGCCGCGCGCTGCTGCGCTTCGTGCGCGAGGCGTGCACTCGGCTCGCCGACGACGTCCCCGTCACGCGCTACCACCTGCTGCTCCACGTGACGAGCGCACCGCACGTCACCCTCGTCACCATTGTCTTCATCGTCATTGTCGTCACTATCCTTGTCACGTGCCCATCACGCGCTACCACCTGCTGCTCCACGTGATGAGTGCACCGGCCTTCATCTCCATCATCATCATCATCATTGTCATCGTCGTCGTCGACATCACCATCTTCATCGTCATCATCATCATCACCATCGTCATCATCATCACCATCGTGAATGAATGCGTGAGAGAGTTGGTAAGTGAGTGATTGAATGAGTGGGAGAGTTGGTAAGTGAGTGATTGAATGAGTGGGAGAGTTGGTAAGTGAGTGATTGAATGAGTGGGAGAGTTGGTAAGTGAGTGGGTGGTTGGATGAGTGAATGAGTTATAGTTGGAGAGTGTGTGGGTGAGAGTGAGCTGTATGATTCAGGAGAAAGGAGTGAAGTGAGCGACTGAAACAACGAATGAGTTGACGATCTCTGCAGGATAAACACGTGGACCGTGAACTCATCCTAGGAGTGTCGTTCGATGGACTTCAGATTTTTCAGGTGAGTGGTGATACACTCACCACATCGCTCGCCACATCGCTCACCCCACCGCTCACCTGAACATTTTGAACCGGTCCCGGGCTTCACATCCTTCACACAAGCACTGTGGTGAAGTATGGCAAAAAATAACCCCACTTGAGCATGACGGCTTTCGTCCAGCAGTGGAGTGACGAACGCCTGTAAATGGGAACTTTAGTAGGCACGGAATAAACATATCTTGCCCGCTCTCTCTCGCACTCTCCCTCCCACACTCTCCCTCCCGCACTCTCCCTACCTAACACCGTACTCTCCCTCCCGCACTCTCCCCACTCTCTCTCAGGGCCCGGGGAAGCACCAGGGGGAGTTTCTCTACGCGGTGCCGTGGACGAACATCAGGAAGATATCGGCGCAGGTGAGAGAGGGGGGCGCAGGTGAGAGAGGGGGGCACAGGGGAGAGAGGGGGGCACAGGGGAGAGAGGGGGGCGCAGGTGAGAGAGGGGGGCACAGGTGAGAGAGGGGGACGAGGGGAGAGAGGGGGACGAGGGGAGAGAGAGAATGGAGAGTGAGAGTGGAGAGAGAGAGCGTCAGACTAGGCCCTAAATAAAGTTGTCTCTGGTGTCGGCCAATCAATTTCAAGGACAATGGCAATATATTATTATCAGAGCATGTTTTGTTTGTATGTTCATCACAAGTACTGTGTGTGGTTAATGCAGACTTGATGCCTTGCAAAACGTTTCTAATTGGTGTTTGAACATCTTAACGCCTGTTTTATTCATAATATAGGTGTTTTTGGGTTGGATCGCGTACATGTGAATGCGTCATTAAACCCGCCACCACCAGACGCAGACGAGAAAATTAGTGAGGTTTCAAACAGAACGTGGCCAATTCTTTGCTAGTACAGCACACCGGTGTGTTGGAGAGCAAAACCACAACATTTACAATCTGAGTACGACGTTTCACCAGTAATTACAACCAGCTTCATTAGGCGACAGCCAGATCTGTGGAGAAATCCTCCTGTTTCGTTCCTTATATAGAGTGGGTAGACGTGATGATGTCACTTGTGAGTCCTTCACGTGCGAAGTGTGGGGGGAGGGGGGGAATTAATGACTGCAAATAAATTACAATGGGTGTCCATTTCCGCTTGGCTTATTCACATAGTAATCAACGCACATTGTGCATGCCCTGTTTTATTGCCAGAAAGGGTAAAAAAAACCCATCCTTATGTTTCATCTTGAGAAGCAGCGTCTGCTGTTCTCACAGTGGGCAAGGGGGAGGGGTGGAGGGGGGGCTCAGAGTGGGGGGGGGGGGGGGGGGGCACGGGAGTCACGTGGAGGCTTGAGCCGATTGAGACACACAGAGAGATGATGGTGATGATGATGATGACCACGACTGCGACTTCTTCTTCTTGTTCTGTCCACTGCCCGCCGCCTTCCCCCCGCACCTGCGATTAACACGGTGGGCTACGTACGGTGCGAAAGAAGTTCAACGTGAACGCACACACACACACACAGCACCTCCTGCCCCCCTCCCTCCACTACCCCCGCCCCCCACCGCCCCATCCCCCGCAGGGTTCACGGTTCGTGGTCCGCCTCGAGGGCCGGGCGTCCACTGGCGGCCGCCTGACGTTGTGCACCGGGCACCCGCGGCACGCGAGCGGCCTGCTGCACCACGTGCGCCGCTGCCACCAGCTGCACGTGCAGCTGCAGCCGCTGCTGGCGAGGATGCGGGCGCGGGAGCAGGGTGGGTGGACTGGACCGACGGACGCGCGGACTGACCACCACCCCCCACCCCCCACCCCCCACCACCTCCCTCCCGAATTTTTGCCAAAGATCCCCAGGGCACGAGCCCGCGCTCGTAATTCGTGATGGTGATAATGATCACAAGTCACGTGCGCGCGTTTTTTGGCATCGTCGCCGACTGTTCTCAAAGCGCGAGCGCCACGCGGAGGGAGGGAGGCGATCTGGTTGACACAGACGGGGGTGCTCGCCTTATCGGTGGTCACGCTTTTCAGAATCTAAACAAATAAAACCTTCATCTGTGTGTCTCAAAGACCTCTAGGGTACTTCCCGACAAGGAAGCTTTCAGGAAACACACAACAGCGAAACATCTGAAAATCCGAGATTTTTCATTTTAAGGTCCCCCAAATCTCGATTTTAAGTGGCCCATCAACATGTTTGTGCATATGTAAGATTATTCTTTGAGTCTTTCGGTAAAGTCACGTAGATAGAAAAATAATAAAAATAAAATCACGACGTTTCGATCGCAACACGAGCAATCGTCTCCAGGTGGAAAAATACAGCAGGCGGACTGCTGAGGCAGGAAGAATGTAGCGAGAGAGCTACCGCAGCCAAAGGTGATTGAGGTTTGAGGTGGGGACAACCCAAGGGTAAGTGGGCGGGGCTAGAGATGGAATTTGCAAGTCAATGTAAGATCGCAGAGGGGGGTACATTGGCTTGCTCTGTCTCCCCCCCCCCTAGTGCGGGGTACAATGGCTTGCTCTGTCTCCCCCCCCCCTCCTGGTGGGGGAGTACAATGGCTTGCTCCGTCTCCCCCCCCCCTGGTGGGGGGGTACAATGGCTTGCTCCGTCTCCCCCCCCCCTGGTGGGGGGTACAATGGCTTGCTCCGTCTCCCCCCCCCCCTGCTGGGGGGTACAATGGCTTGCTCCGTCTCCCCCACGATTGCAGACGGCCTCCCCTACCGAGAATGCTTCATCAGCGACTACCCCGACTCGAGCCCCCCGGAGCCCCCCAGCGCCGACCTTGACCCCGCAAGACCACAGGGGGCCCGGCAGCAGCAGCAGCGAGGGGACTGCGGGGACCCTCTCGGAGGAGAAGCGGGGGTCGCGGCAGACGTCGGACAAGACGAGACTCAAGGTGATGACAGAGACAAAGGTTCCACCCCACCCCTATAGCCTTAACAGACTGTTGGGGCAAGTGCTGTTAGCGAGTAGGACCCTATGGAGGCCAGGACGGTACACGAGGGGGTGGGTGGCCAGCACCACACCCGACCGCCTTTGTCTCCCAAGTGGCGATGTTTACACACCACACCAGGTACTCATTTGAGGCTGAGTCGATCTAGGGGAGGCCCAGGACCGGTTCTGATAATTGCTATCACTGATGTTGGTGGCCATCAGCGGGAATCGAACCTTCGGTCGCCAAGTTTGTACCGCAGCACGCTAACCGATGCACCACCGCTCACCCCAACGTTACCAGTAACGCACGCACACACGCACACACAGCATAGGCCCTTTATCAGCCCACTGGCGGATGGATGAAGGCCTCATCTCCACGCCACGTCCGTCACTGGGGTTCCTTGGCCATACTTCACCACGCCGGTCAGTCGGTCACTGGGGCCCCAGGACCGATTGTGACGTCACTCGTCGGGATGATTGCGCCGAGTCAGCACCCCCCCCCTCCTTCCCCACCCCTCCTCCTCGTCCCCCCTCCTCCTCCCCCACCACTCCCTCCCCCCCCACACCACCCCCAAGCTGGGTTCTTGAACTCGCGACATTGCGATCGCGAGGCGCCGAGTCGCCCCCGATGCACACTCATAACGACGACTACAACAACAATAATAATAATTCACGAATCGATGCAGTAGGGGGGCGGGAGCGGGGGGGTGGGCGGGTGGTGGCGTGCAGGCGGTGAGCGGTTCCGCGTGCGGCGCTCTGGCTTGAATCGTCGAATAGCGAACATACCGCGGTGATGCGTCTCGCACGTTCTACCCCCCACCCCTCCCCCCCCCTGCCAGGTGCGCGCTATAAAAGACGCGAGTTGCGTCCTGGCGTTCTACCCTGGCATGCCATCCCGGCCGCTCGATTGCTTGCACCTGTGCCCTGAGCGGAGAATTTTGTTTCAATCAAAGAAAGAAAGAAAGACACTTTTTTTTTTTACTCGGCCCATCGTCCTTTTGAGGGCCGATAAAGCGCCTACCACTTTGCGTGGAAGTCAGCGTTGAGCGTTCCGTTCTGTGGATGGAGAGAGATGCTCGCTCGCGCCACGTGAATGTGGAATTGAATGTCCCTCTGGACGGCGCTGGGCGGGGGGGGGGGGGGGGGGGGGCGATTATACGAGTGCCACTCTGGAGGGACCTCCTCCGCGATGAGAACGTGGGGCTTGTAAAACCACGAGATGTGAGCACCGCCGATGCCTCGAACGACGACAACGACAAATAACCGGACGGAATTCATATAACGCCGCTGTTGATTTTTAATCATTCGGCTTGGTCGTTCATTGCCTCCGTTGTGTGTTGCTGTGTGGCGTCTGTTTGTGTTTCATCTCGCGAGCGGCTGCAGAGGAGCTGCCTCGGGGTCCGCGCGGGGTCACGCTCAGACGCGCACGTTCACAAGGTACACCCCCAAAAACACGTGGGGTGCTGTGTGTGTGGGGGGGGGGGTATGGGGAGATTAAACCAGCAGTGGATGAATAATGGCTAATGTTGCTACTACTATTGATGGCGATGATGATTATAGTTGTTGCTGCTGACACTGTTGCAGTTGATGATGATAATGATAACAATGATGATTATAGATATCGCTACTGCAGCTGATGATGATTATAGCTATTGATGCTGAAGCTGATGATGACGCTTCGATCCAAAATATGTGAGAGTGGGACAGAAAGTCATCAACATAGCAGTTGATAGAAAATGACCACTGCTTCTGTTGGTGATCACGATGCTGAATCCATGCCTCGACCCGGGCCTATGCCAGACATGTGTTGTTGATTCATGGTGAAGTAGAGCTGGTCTCGTTTTGTTTGTAGTCGTGCAGGAGACGTCACACAAGCGCCCCTGTGTGGAAGGCACGACTGCTCGGAGACACAGCTTCCAGGTGCCGACTGCTCGCTCACTCACTCAGCCGCTTGCTCACTCGCTCACTCAGCTGATTGCTCACTCACTCAGCCGCTTAATCACTCACTCACTCACTCGTTCGCTCTCTTACTCATCCACTCGCCCGCTCGCTCGCTCGCCCACCCGCTCACCCACCTACTCACCCACCCACTCAATCACCAACCCATCCGCTTGCTTGCTGGCTCACTCGCCCACTCACTCACTCACTCGCTCACTCACCCACAGATTCGCCCACTCACTCACTCACTCTCTGGGAGAGTGGACCTTTGCAACCCTAATGCCCATTGTTCATTGAACAGAAGAGATTATCTTCTTTGGTTCTTTCGGTAAAGTCACGTCGAATGAGAATAAAATAATAAATTGATAAAAATAAAATAACACAATAATATTCTCACGACGTTTCGGCCACAACACAGGCGGCCTTCATCAGGTGAAGGGACGAGACTGTCTGGTAGGACAACTCCAGCGCTGTCCTACCAGACAGTCTCGTCCCTTCACCTGATGAAGGCCACTTGTGTTGTGGCCGAAACGTCGTGAGAATATTATTGTGTTATTTTATTTTTATCAATTTATTATTTTATTCTCATTCTACGTGACTTTACCGAAAGAACCAAAGAAGATGAATCCTTGCAGTCACGAAAGCTTTAAATCGAAAAATAAAACAGAAGAGATTAGTTAATCATCATCAGCACGATCACTACCATCATAATGATAACCTCCATCATCTTCACCACTACCATCACAACCCTCGTCATGATCATCATCATCATCATCCACCTGATCCCTCTCCATCCTCTCGTGGCCACAGGGTTTGTCTACGTCATCTTCGACGGCTCCTCCTCTTGTCGGCCGGACCTCACGACCCAGGAGCCGCAGCTTGGACGGACATCGCTCCCCCATCACCATCACCACCACCACCGCTACCGTCATCACCACCACCGTCGCCACCATCATCCCCACCAAAACCACCACCACTCCGACCAACACAACTATCACCACTATCACCAGTATCCTTGCCACCACCACCATCATCTCCACCACCATCACCCCCACCACCATAATCCCCACTACCATAAATCCCACAATGACCACCATCCCCACCATCCCCACCATCATCACCAGCACCATTAGCTCCATCATCTTCCTCCCCGAAACCACCGCCTCTCTCAATCCCCACTTCCCCAATGACCCCGGCGACCCCGGCGACCCCGGTGACTCCGGCGACCCCGGTGACCCCGGCGAGTGGCGATTCCTGGAGACGCCGCGGATCCGGGACAGCGGCTACCACTCGCACTGCGCCACCACCCAGCGGCGCCGCGATGGGGGCTACCGCAGCGGTGGAGGAGAGGCTACCGGTGGCAGTGGCGGCGGTGGTGGTGGCGGTGGCGGTGGCGGCGGTGGCGGTGGCGGCGGTAGCGGTGGTGGTGGTGATGGTGGTGGTGGTGGTGGCGGCGGCGGCGGCGGCGGCGGTGGTGGCGGTGGCGGTGGTGGCGGTGGTGGTGGCGGTGGTAGCGGTAGCGGTTAGCGACCTGAGCCGCGCCACGAACCCGGCGACCCGAATTCGATTTTGCGCTCACGACCACCGATGACGATGATCTGAACCGGCCCTGGGCCCCCTCCTCCTCTAGGTCGACTCGGCCTCAAATGAGTAGCTGGTGCGGTGTGCAGCAAACATCGCCACTAGGGAGACAAAGGCGGCCCGGCGTGGCGCTGGCCGCCCCCACCCCCTCGTGTAGCGTACCGGTCTTCATAGGTTGCTGCTCGCTATCAGTACCTGCCCCAACAGTCTGTTAAGGCTATACGGGGGGATCTTTGGAGGTGGTGGTGGAAGTTGTGGTGGAGGTGGTGGTGGAGGTGGTAGTGGAAGTGGTGGAGGTGGTGGAAGTGATGGTGGAGGTGGTGGTGATGGTGGAGGTGGTGGTGGAGGTGGTGGTGGAGGTGGTGGTGGAGGTGGTGGTGGAGGTGGTGGTGGAGGTGCTGGTGGAGGTGCTGGTGGAGGTGCTGGTGGAGGTGGTGGTGATGGTGCTGGTGGAGGTGGTGGTGGAGGTGCTGGTGGAGGTGGTGGTGGAGGTGGTGGTGGAGGTGGTGGTGGAGGTGCTGGTGGAGGTGGTGGTGGAGGTGGTGGCGAAGTCCGAGTGAATCATAGAACGATGGAGAATGAGTCGATAGGAGTTCCCAGTGCATCAACGACCCTGGGCGATAGCAGTGAATAAGAGCTAGTGTCCAGGGAATGGGAAAGTCTCGTGAACGACAGCATCTTTGGAAATCGTTACATTGAACGACTCTAGGGAATGAATCTGGAATTGCAATGGATGATTTTAGTAAATATCAGTGAATGAGAAGGGAATAACAGCGTTTATCGAATGGGAGTGAGTGAGTGTAGGGAATGACGGTGAATGACTATGGAATAAAAGCGTTTAGCATTATGAGTGTAACGATAATGATTATATGAACAGTACACGCTTATATGAACAGTACTTGATGATGATGACGATGATATGTACAATACATGATGATGGTATGAAAAATACATGATGATAATGGTGATATGAATATTACTCGATGACGATGACCATTGGCGTTATAGATTATATCGAGGGAACTGATGCCGCATCTAATGATGATAATGGCATGATGATGGTGCTTTGTGCTGACAGTGATGATGTCACCAGAGTAATGATGGTGAAACTATAATTGACTGCAATTATGATGATGATGCCATCATCATGAGCATCATCATCATCATCATGATCACATATTTGAGCACAATCCAATAAGTCATCATCCCGTAAACGTCGTTTTACAATCACTGCGATGTCTTTTGAGAATTAAATAGAACAGGGCGATCCATTTACAGATGCGCCATTAAAATAATATAACTAAATACGTGATCTGCAAAGCCCTCTCGACTACACACCTGCCATCAATCTCAATACAACTCGTTCAACATCGTAACCGCTCTCTGCCACGTGCGTACCATCGCTTTTACAGTACCCAATCGGCTGTCGAGAAGGCAGTACGATTGTGTCGTACGAAATCAGTCGCATACTGACAACAGCCGAGCAGACAATGTCTCATTCACGTGTCCGTCTGCACATAACAACAAACATATACTTTTTTTTACACATTCCATCAGCCGCACACACGGCCTTGTGGGAGTGCCCCAATTGCTGCAGAGTTGATTCAAGACGAGAAAACCACTTTGGCCCGGTTTCGCCACGCAGTGTCTCATCAGCAGCCCGAGTCGGTCTTCGCTTGAATCGGTGACGGTGAACTTGCGATGTTTCTCGCAAAGGGACTCTCTCTCTACGATATGGTGCCCCCTGGGGCATCTTTAAATGGATCGCACTCTAAATTGGGAGGGGGGTGGGGGAGCGGTGGCGCAGTGGTTAGCGCAGTGCGCCCCCTGACCCCAGAACTTGAGTTCAATTTACCCGACCACGGCTCACATCAGTGGCGAGTGATATCTGATCCTGTCATGGACGCTCCAACCCTCCGCCACCCGCACTGACCAGGGTGGTGAAGTATGGTCAATCAACCCTCGCAACCGAACAAGCGGTGGAGATGCCTTCATCACGCGGTGGATTGACATCATCATCATCAGCCATGGTCAATCCACTGCTGGATGAACACCTCCCAAAGTTGCCGACCACCGCCCTTCACGATCCTTGTGTAGCACCATAAATGGAACGGTACCTTGTACCGTCAGGGGAGGGGCTGCAGCGCCAGCCCAAGAGGGGAGGGGCTGCTGGGGGCTGCTGGGGGCTTAGGATCCCCAAACAGCTAAGCCCCTTGGCGCCCACAACGGGGGGGGGGGGGGGGGGGGGGGGCTGCGGGAGGTCTAGGATCCTCACTTTTATCGCCCCTCGGAGGTAGGGATGATGGGCCGAGACACCGCCCTCATACCCACCTCGACCCCCATCAACAAGGGCTCTTCGGATGATTCTAACTGAACACATTCCGTGCCATGAACCTCGCAGTCACAGGAAACGACTTCAAACTGCGAACGGGAGCGCCTGAAGATAAATGGATTTGTGGACGATTTCGCATCTATTATATTCACGCCTCATTCAATATTTAAAGATAGTTTATTTATTTATAACTTAGACCCCCCCCCCCCCGGGTGCCGCGTGCGGCGCGCGTGCGCGCGCGCGCGTCTCGCGGAATCTGAAACAACGGCGGAGGCCACGCGGACGGATTTAATTAGCGTGAGAGTCCAACATCCGTCCATCCGTCCCTTCCACAAGCGCGCGCGTGTGCATCTTCTGCGTTGTGTGTGTGCACCCCAACTAGGGAGACAAAGGCGGCCGGACGTGGTTTGCTACCCCAACCCCCCTCTCTCCCCCTCGTGTGCCGTGCCTGGTCTTCATAGGTGCTACTCGCTAACGGCACTTGCCTCGAAAGTCCGTTAAGGCTACGCGGGGGATCTTTGTCTTGTCTTTGTATTCGTGTGGGGAGCGGTAGTGTAGCAGTGAGCGCGCTGCGATACGAGCCAAGCAACCCAAGTTGGATTCTCTCTGACGGCCAACACCAGTGACGATTATCTGAACCGGTCCTGGGGCTCCCCTAGGTCGACTCACACTTGAATGAGTACCTGGTGCGGTGTGTAAAAAAAAATCAGCACTGGCCATGCCAGCCTACATAGGTCCTCCCTGTGACAGCACTTGCCCCAAAAGCCAGTTGAAGGCTATACGAGAGATATTTTTGTGTGTCAGTGTATGTGGATGTGTGTGTGTGAATGGCCGAGTGAATACAGTACATTCGAGGTGAGTGATGTGGTAGGTTGGTGAATGATGTAGCGGGTAATGGATGTAAGCGAGGTGTCTTATCAGGTGAGTGGGAGAGTGAGTGAATGAGTGATTCGGTAGGCGAGTGGTTCAGTAGGTGACTGAATGATCGAGTAGGTGAGTGAGTGGCTGAGTTAGTGAATGAGGGGTCATTAGGTAGGTGAGTGGTTCAGTAGGTGACTGAATGTTTGAGTAGGTGATTGCGTGAGTGAGTGGATGAGTGAGAGTGAGGAGTTATTCGGTAGGCGAGTGGTTAAGCAGGTGAGTGAATGATCGAGTAGGTGAGCGCGTGAATTGGTTGGCGAGCTAGTTGGTAGGTGAGGGAGTGGGTAGTTGAGTGGTTGGTGACTGCGCGAGTAAGCTAAGCTACAGTAAGCTAGCAAAACAATAATAACAGTTCACTTGGTTTTATATAATAGTGCAATTGGCAGAAGGTCTCCAATAACTTTACATAAAAGCTGCTTAAGTTACGGAGAACGCATGTTGTAGAAAAAATATCTCAATCAGGTGGGTCTTAATACGAGATTTAAAACGTGTAACGGACTCAGATCTACGATCACGGAGATTGGAATAACGGCGGAGTTTTTGTAGGAGCCAGCGCATTCAAGACGAAGAAGAATCTTAAAGGCCGATGTTGTACTGCACAGGGAGCCAGTGTAGGAATATAGACAATCCCTGGGTTTGGTGTTGCTTTAAGCTCATTGTCCACCCTAAACAGCATCCACTGCACAAACCACGGCAGTAGATGCGGACACTTTATGATGCACAAATGGTGAAACTCTCCAGCGGTGTGCGACTTTGGTGGTCATCCAGAACAGAGGCCGTGCAACGCGTAAGGACGCAATGCCCCCATCCACAAATACGAAGGAGACATCGCAGCGATGTAGAACTCCACTGCTCCTGACCCGGTTTGTCTCGGCTCGACCACCCGAATGTGAAATTGTGGTTGATGCTCTGCATCAGCAGCCGTACAAGATAAGAAAAGTGCAGGAATAGGAGTGACATTATCCATGAGAGGTTTTTTTTTTAAATTATTATTTTGGTTAGATCGCGTAAGTATAAATGTGTCGTTAAACCCGCCACCACCCGACACAACCAATTAGTAAGGTTGTCACGTTAACAAAACGTGCCAATTCGTGATTGGTTCAGTACACCGGTGTGTTGCAGAGTAAACACCACAACATTTACAATTCGAGTACTTGCCTGTGGGTTTAACGACACATTTATACTTACGCGATTTAACCCAACACAACCTCGATTAAGTAGGGCGATGTTTGCTCTGTGACTTTACCCAACTGGATACGGCAAGTCCTCGCTTAACGCGCGGTGTTCACACAACGCGCGTTTTTGCTCCATTTCCAATTCGACGTTTCGCCGGTAATTCCAACCAGCCTCATCAGACTACAGGCAGAATTGCGGAGGAATCCTCCTCTCGTTTCGATCTTAAATATTATGGTCACGCCATTTAGGTCTGGGTTAAATAAACATTAGGGTGGGGGGGGGGACGGGTGGTGTCACCACCCCCCCTCCCCCTGACCTCACGCAGCGCGCTAATTACCCACCACCCCCACAACCCCCACCACCACCACCACCTCAATCGCGAGACCTTTTACCGCGTGGCTAAGCCATCTCAAAATTATCCCCCTCCACCACCTCCACCTCTTCACCACACCAACTCCCCATGCATGATTAATGAATGCCACGCCACCTGTTATCTCATTAGGGGTCGCGTCAACAGAATTAGATTTGAGTTGACTTAGTTTCGTGAAGCTCGCGGTATAAGCGTCGTACAAATCATCATCGTCGTCGTCATGTTGATGTACCGTTATCGTTATCTTGAGTGAGTGGATTCTATTTAGAATGCGTAGAGCGCCCTTGCCAGCTACAGTGAGGGAAAAAAAGTATTTGATCCCATGCTGATTTTGTACGTTTGCCCACTGACAAAGAAATGATCAGTCTATAATTTTAATGGTAGGTTTATTTGAACAGTGAGAGACAGTATAACAACAAGAAAATCCAGAAAAAACGCATGTCAAAAATGTTATAAAATGATTTGCATTTTAATGAGGTAAATACAGTGAGGGAAAAAAGGATTTGATCCCCTGCTGAATTTGTACGTTTGCCCATTGACAAAGAAATTATCAGTTTATAATTTTAATGGTAGGTTTATTTGAACAGTGAGAGACAGAATAACAACAAGAAATTCCAGAAAAACGCAAGTCAAAAATGTTATAACTTGATTTTGCATTTTAATGAGGGAAATAAGTATTTGACCCCCTCTCAATCGGAAAGATTTCTGGCTCCCAGGTGTCTTTTATACAGGTAACGAGCTGAGATTAGGAGCACACTCTTAAAGGGAGTGCTCCTAATCTCAGCTTGTTACCTATATAAAAGACACCTGTCCACAGAAGCAATCAATCAATCAATCAGATTCCCAACTCTCCACCATGGCCAAGACCAAAGCGCTCTCCAAGGATGTCAGGGACAAGATTGTAGACCTACACAAGGCTGGAATGGGCTACAAGACTATTGCCAAGCAGCTTGGTGAGAAGGTGACAACAGTTGGTGCGATTATTCGCAAATGGAAGAAACACAAAAGAACTGTCAATCTCCCTCGGCCTGGGGCTCCATGCAAGATCTCAGCTCGTGGAGTTGCAATGATCATGAGAACGGTGAGGAATCAGCCCAGAACTACACGGGAGGATCTTGTCAATGATCTCAAGACAGCTGGAACCATAGTCACCAAGAAAACAATTGGTAACACACTACGCCGTGAAGGACTAAAATCCTGCAGTGCCCGCATGGTCCCCCTGCTCAAGAAAGCACATATACTGTATATGCCCGTCTGAAGTTTGCCAATGAACATCTGAATGATTCAGAGGACAACTGGGTGAAAGTGTTGTGGTCAGATGAGACCAAAATGGAGCTCTTTGGCATCAACTCAACTCGCCGTGTTTGGAGGAGGAATGCTGCCTATGACCCCAAGAACACCATCCCCACCGTCAAACATGGAGTTGGAAACATTATGCTTTGGGGGTGTTTTTCTGCTAAGGGGACAGGATAACTTCACCGCATCAAAGGGACGATGGACGGGGCCATGTACCGTAAAATCTTTGGTGAGAATCTCCTTCCCTCAGCCAGGGCATTGAAAATGTGTCGTGGATGGGTATTCCAGCATGACAATGACCCAAAACACACGGCCAATGCAACAAAGGAGTGGCTCAAAAAGAAGCACATTAAGCTCCTGGAGTGGCCTAGCCAGTCTCCAGACCTTAATCCCATAGAAAATCTGTGGAGGGAGCTGAAGGTTCGAGTTGCCAAACGTCAGCCTCGAAACATTAATGACTTGGAGAAGATCTGCAAAGAGGAGTGGGACAAAATCCCTCCTGAGATGTGTGCAAACCTGGTGGCCAATTACAAGAAACGTCTGACCTCTGTGATTGCCAACAAGGGTTTTGCCACCAAGTACTAAGTCATGCTTTGCAGAGGGGTCAAATACTTATTTCCCTCATTAAAATGCAAATCAATTTATAACATTTTTGACATGCGTTTTTCTGGATTTTGTTGTTGTTATTCTGTCTTTCACTGTTCAGATAAACCTACCATTAAAATTATAGACTGATCATTTCTTTGTCAGTGGGCAAACGTACAAAATCAGCAGGGGATCAAATACTTTTTTTCCCTCACTGTACCTCGTCGGCGCTGCGAAGACAGTCGCAGGTTAGGGGAAGCCTCCTCACGCAATCCACCGAATGGGCAGAATGATGCATTTCACAACGCCGCTATTATTGTTGATTTATTTCATTGACCAATGATTAATGATGATGATGGCGGAGACGATGGTGATGTGGTTGTCGTCTCTGAGATATGGTTCACGCGTACAGCAGTACACGTGAACCATATGTAAGAGACGCAATTCACAAATTATGATACAGTATACAATGGTATAATCAGCCCCCCCGCCCCTTTTAGCGCCGATATCATTGGCGCTCGTTTCTCCACGAACGCATCCTGAGCGGCTAAGCGGGGAGTGCCTGCATCCTTGTGTTGTCGATATGAATGAGTGGATGATGACGACGATCAATTAATTAATTACTACTATTATTAGGTTGCGTGATTATAATTACTACCGATAATGTTACCTCCAAGAAGAGTATTAAGACTCTTCGCGCAGGAGGATCCTGCTCCATTGCAATAATTTGGCCGACTCCCCGTTAAGGAGTGATGATGATAATGATAATCGATAAATACAATAAATTATCTCTACCATTATGATGATCATCGTAAAAATGGTAGAAATCATGATGATGATGATGATCAACCAATGATCTCTACCATTATGATGATAATCATCATTATGATGATAATCATCATAATGGTAGAGATCATTGGTTGTATTTATCGATTACTTTAACATTGCCCATTTAAGGTCCCGAGGCGTGTAAGCGCTTGCTCTGCCTGCCTGTCCGTACCGGGTATGCAACGATATTTCTCTCGTAAGGACGATCCAATATGAACTCATCTTTGGTATGAAAACAGTGGCGAAAATCTGGTACCGGTCCTGGGCTTCCCCTGGGTCGACTCAGCCTCAAATTAGTACAGCTGGTTGCGATGCGTTGGCAGAGACAAACGAGTCACACCCGAGATGAGTCATTGCCAATATACAAACACGTTTTGCTTTGACAGCTAAGCCGTCGGCTCCCGTATTGCTCATTAAACAATTCCGAAGATGTTGGGCAAAATAATGCATTTCATAACTTGTCATTATTGATGATTTATTTGATTGATCAATGAGGATAAACAATTGATTGATGGATGATAACGATTTGGTGATGAGCATTATTATTAATGATGATGATAATTAATTGATGATGGATAAGAAGCTGGATTGATAATGATTATTTTATTGCTTGAGATTATTGACGGATGAATGACATGTTACATGGAAGGTGATCACTATTGAATGGGTGATGATGATGATTACGATTCATTAATGAGCGAGGTTATTTAGAACTGACTGCCGGACGATGATTATACGGATGCCAATGAATTATAATTATTATTGATGATGAATGACTGAAACGAGTGATAGATAATGATTTTGAATCAACACAATTATTATTTTCATCGTTCGATGATTGATACAATCCATGTAAATACCGTCGCAAACAAAATAAACCCCGATAATTAAAATTATAATGAATGGCATCGGGACAACGAATCGAATGGGTCCCAGTGGACGAATCCATGCAAGTTCCACCTGCGCGCAATCCAACTTCTTGCAGGTGCGAAACGTCCGACATCGTTCTAAAGAGCGGGGGAAGGGGTAGGGGGGAAGCGGTGCAACGCGACGAAATGCAGAAGCGCAACGGGAAAGGCGACATCACCCTCCTCCCATCTCCCACCGCAGGGAACACTTCAAATTGACTCTCACTTGTAACGCGACTCGAGCCGCAGCGGCCGCGGTGAAGCGGAGACGGCGGGTGGACACCTGGACACCTACTCACCACAGGGTGGACACCTACACACCACAGGGTGGACATCTACTCACCACAGGGTGGACACCTACTCACCACAGGGTGGACACCTACTCAGCACAGGGTGGACACCTACTCAGCACAGGGTGGACACCTACTCACCACAGGGTGGACATCTACTCACCACAGGGTGGACACCTACTCACCACAGGGTGGACACCTGGACACCACAGGGTGGACACCTACTCAGCACAGAGTGGACACCTACTCAGCACAGAGTGGACACCTACTCAGCACAGAGTGGACACCTACTCAGCACAGGGTGGACACCTACTCACCACAGGGTGGACACCTACTCACCACAGGGTGGACACCTACTCAGCACAGGGTGGACACCTACCCAGCACAGGGTGGACACCTACTCAGCACAGGGTAGACACCTACTCAGCACAGGGTGGACACCTACTCAGCACAGGGTGGACACCTACTCAGCACAGGTGGACACCTACTCAGCACAGGGTGGACACCTACTCACCACAGGGTGGACACCTACTCAGTACAGGGCGGACACCTACTCAGCACAGGGTGGACACCTACTCAGCACAGGGTGGACACCTACTCACCACAGGGTGGACACCTACTCAGCACAGGGTGGACATCTACTCACCACAGGGTGGACATCTACTCACCACAGGTGGACACCTACTCACCAAAGGGTGGACACCTACTCACCACAGGGTGGACACCTACTCGGCACAGGGTGGACACCTACTCAACACCTACTCAGCACAGGGTGGACATCTACTCACCACAAGGTGGACATCTACTCACCACAGGGTGGACACCTACTCACCACAGGGTGGACATCTACTCACCACAGGGTGGACGTGGCCGCGACTTCCCTGCTGCACCGCGCACGGCCAACGGGGAACGAGTCGAGGCGCGTGCCATGTACATCAGGTGAGTGTATACCAGGTGAGTGTGTATCAGGTGAGTGTATACCAGGTGTGTATCAGGTGAGTGTATATCAGGTGAGTGTATACCAGTTGAGTGTATACCAGGTGAGTGTATACCAGGTGAGCGTATACCAGGTGCGTGTGTATCAGGTGAGTGTAAATCAAGTAAGTGTATACCAGGTGAGTGTGTATCAGGTGAGTGTATATCAGGTGAGTGTATACCAGGTGAGTGTGTATCAGGTGAGTGTATACCAGGTGAGTGTATATCAGGTGAGTGTATACCAGGTGAGTGTGTATCAGGTGAGTGTATACCAGGTGAGTGTGTATCAGGTGAGTGTATACCAGGTGTGTATCAGGTGAGTGTATATCAGGTGAGTGTATACCAGTTGAGTGTATACCAGGTGAGTGTATACCAGGTGAGCGTATACCAGGTGAGTGTATACCAGGTGAGTGTGTATCAGGTGAGTGTATACCAGGTGAGTGTATATCAGGTGAGTGTATATCAGGTGAGTGTATACCAGGTGCGTGTGTATCAGGTGAGTGTATATCAAGTAAGTGTATAGCAGGTGAGTGTATATCAGGTGAGTGTATACCAGGTGTGTATCAGGTGAGTGTATATCAGGTGAGTGTGTATCAGGTGAGTGTATACCAGGTGAGTGTATATCAGGTGAGTGTATACCAGGTGAGTGTGTATCAGGTGAGTGTGTATCAGGTGAGTGTATATCAGGTGAGTGTATACCAGGTGAGTGTGTATCAGGTGAGTGTGTATCAGGTGAGTGTACACCAGGTGAGTGTATATCAGGTGAGTGTATACCAGGTGAGTGTGTATCAGGTGAGTGTATACCAGGTGAGTGTGTATCAGGTGAGTGTATATCAGGTGAGTGTATACCAGGTGAGTGTATATCAGGTGAGTGTATACCAGGTGCGTGTGTATCAGGTGAGTGTAAATCAAGTAAGTGTATACCAGGTGAGTGTGTATCAGGTGAGTGTATATCAGGTGAGTGTATACCAGGTGAGTGTGTATCAGGTAAGTGTATACCAGGTGAGTGTGTATACCAGGTGAGTGTGTATCAGGTGAGTGTGTATCAGGTGCGTGTGTATCAGGTGAGTGTATATCAAGTAAGTGTATACCAGGTGAGTGTATGCCAGGTGAGTGTGTATCAGGTGAGTGTGTATCAGGTGAGTGTATACCAGATGTGTATCAGGTGAGTGTATACCAGGTGAGTGTATACCAGGTGTGTATCAGGTGAGTGTATACCAGGTGAGTGTGTATCAGGTGAGTGTATACCAGGTGAGTGTATACCAGGTGTGTATCAGGTGAGTGTATACCAGGTGTGTATCAGGTGAGTGTATACCAGGTGAGTGTATATCAGGTGAGTGTATACCAGGTGAGTGTGTATCAGGTGAGTGTATACCAGGTGAGGGTAAATCAGGTGAGTGTATACCAGGTGAGTGTATATCAGGTGAGTGTATACCAGGTGAGTGTATACCAGGTGAGTGTATACCAGGTGTGTATCAGGTGAGTGTATACCAGGTGAGTGTATACCAGGTGTGTATCAGGTGAGTGTATACCAGGTGAGTGTATATCAGGTGAGTGTATACCAGGTGAGTGTGTATCAGGTGAGTGTATACCAGGTGAGTGTAAATCAGGTGAGTGTATACCAGGTAAGTGTATACCAGGTGAGTGTATACCAGGTGAGTGTGTATCAGGTGAGTGTATACCAGGTGAGTGTATACCAGGTGAGTGTATACCAGGTGAGTGTATATCAGGTGAGTGTATACCAGGTGACTGTATACCAGGTGAGCAGGGTTAAATCTTGATTTCAAACTTTCGTCACTGCGGGAATTCGTAATCTTTGCGTCGTTCGGTAACGTCACGTCGATAGTGCAATGAAACATTTTCACTGAACCTGTATCTCCGTGACTTTACCGAAAGACCCAAAGAATGTGAGCAGAGGTTGAGCGTGTGGGGTGAGCGTCCAAGTGTGGCTGGGGTGGGGAGGGGTGGAGGAGAGCGGTGGCGCAATGGTTAGCGCACTGCTACCCGAGTTCGATTCGCGCTCACGACCAACGCCAGTGACGATTGTCTGAGCCGGTCGTGGCCTTACCCCGATTGTAGACTCGAACGAGTAGCTCGGCGCGGCTTGGCGCTGCACTACCGGTTCGGGAGATTATCTGAACCGGTCCTGAGCCTCCCCCTAGGTCGACTCGGCCTCAAATGAGTACCTGGTGCGGTGTGTAAACATCGCCACTCGGGGAGACAAAGGCGGCCGGGCGTGGTGATAAACACACCAACCCCCCTCGTCTGCCGTCACTGCCTTCATAGGTGCTCGCTAACAGCACTTGCCCCAAAGAGGCTGTTGAGGCTCCACGCGGTGGGGGGGGGGCAGGGTGGATCTGTGTCTTTGCCATTTGCGTGATTTATTCTGCACACTAGTTGATTTCGCCAAATGTTGGCATCTTTCGTTCGTTCAATCATCCGTGACGACGTCTTCTTCTTCTTCTATGAATTGTGATGAAATATTGAAAACGGAGAATATTCACACGCTGGGGTGGATCTGTGTGGATGTGAAATAATTAATCTCTTTAAAGTGCGCGTGCCATTTACGCTTGTCACGTACTTCAAAGAGAACTTTTAATGACTCCCTCATTGGTGTTCACTTTTAAACCGCACTCTCAGCGCTCTCGTCAAATAACGCGGCTAATATATGTGTGTGTGTGTGGATGAAGTCAAACCATCCCCCACCCTCCCTGAACGGCACTTGAATAGAGCGGCCAGAGAGATATTTAGTGGATTTGTAAGAGTTGTCAGCATGCGTTTTACACCATGGGGTGGGGTGGCCTTGATTTGAATTGTAATTAAACACGTCTTTCTTGATGGCCATTCTGCAATTTAGTTTTTTTTTACATTGGTTTTAATGGACTCCTAATCCATCCACACATTTAAATGCCCTGCGCGTGCCAGACACGGCCGGGTTTGACTTCGTTTCGTACGCATCCACGGCTGCATGAACCCATCCTTCCATCTTGTTGTTATATATATACACATACACTTGTACGTCCAGAACCCGCTCACTGACGCTGGTGGGCGTGAGCGGGAATCGAACTCGGGGTTCGCATAGCTCAGCGCGCTGACCGCTGCGCCACCGTTCCTCACATTAGCACGGTTGGCCACGCACGGTGCGAAAGAAGTTCAACACACATAGTGGAGCGGGAGTGGGGAGGGGGGGGAGGGGCGAGTGCACACTCCCTTCAAGACCTCAACCCACCCCTCACCTCAGCCCCCCCTCCCTCATCACCCCGCCCCCCTCTCTCGCCGCAGCTCAGTGGCTCGGGGCCGCGGGGACCCGGACGGGGGGGGAGGGCCCCCCAGGCGAGGGGGAGAGGCCTCGGCGCACAACAGCGGCGGAGCGGCGGGGGGGGTCGCGCAGGCGCGGGAGGCCCTGGAGCAGCTGAAGCTGGAGGCGAACATCCAGCGTGTGAACGTGGGTACCCCCTGGGCCCCCTCCCCCCAGGGCCATCCAGGGCCCCCGCAGTACAAGCCATAGGCTGGCGGGGTGGGGGGGTATTTGCAGGGGCGTTGATAGTCGGGGGTGGCAGGGTGACCTCCCCCCCAACCAACTCACTCACAACCTCCGCTAAGTTACATCGTATTTCATCCACGCACCCAGCCACCCATTCATTCACCCACTCGCACACTCACTCACCCAGCCACCCATTCATTATCCCACTCAGTCAACCACTCAATCAGCCACGCATTCATTGACCCACTCAGTCAACCACTCAATCAACCACCCATTCATTCACCCACTCGCACACTCACTCACCCAGCCACCCATTTATTAACCCACTAAGTCACCCACACAATCAGCCACCCACTAGCACACTCACTCACCCAGCCACCCATTAATTCACCCACTCGCACACTCACTCAGGCACCCATTCGCTCACTCACCGACTCAGTCACCTGCTCGCTCACTCACCCACTCATTCACCTACCCACTGACCGACCGACCCACTCACCCACCCACTCAGTCACCTGCTCGCTCACTCACCCACTCATTCACCTACCCACTGACCGACCGACCCACTCACCCACCCACTCAGTCACCTGCTCGCTCACTCACCCACTCATTCACCTACCCACTGACCGACCGACCGACCCACTCACCCACCCACCCACAGGTGTCCAAGGCCGCTTCGGACCTCATGGAGTACTGCACCGCGCGCGCGCAGGAGGACCCGATGCTCACGCCGGTGCCGTCCTCCGAGAATCCGTTCCGCGAGAAGAAGTTCTTCTGCTCCATCGTGTGACGTTGACCTTGCGACCCTTTGACCTTGACCACTGGCACCGGGCAGCACGCGGCCCTGACGCTAAAACCCCAGCCTCGAATGCTGCAACTCTGACCCAAACGTCTGCCGTACCTCGCTTCCATCGGCTCGTTTTATTTCCCCTCCTGGCTGCTCTGCTCTCTCTCCTCCCACTCCTCACCGCCCCCCCCCCCTCTCCTTGTGCACAATCCACCCTTTCCGCTCCTTTTCCCGACTCGCCCCCCTTGCACTGGAACAAACTTCCGCTCCACGTGGAGCGAGCAGCACCCCTCTCTCCTTGTCGAGTTTCCGCTCCTCCCTCAAGACTCCCCAACCTCTTCTCCCTGGCCCCATCCTTCCCTCCATCCCCGGGTACTCGTCGTAATTCCCGTACCCACTAAAACTCCCTCCCCATACCCCCATCCCTATTCACCATTTCGCTTTGAGCTACCCTCATTGTACCACTCATAACCCCGTGTAAAGCGCCTTGGATAAAGCCGCTATATAAATATAAGACAAGGTGACCCTGAATCCTGACCCTATTTTCAATTGTAAGACCGTGACCCTGACTCTAACGCGAACCCAGTTACCATCTGACCCGGGCGTTTTACGTAAATCCACACCTCCAACGCTAAGATCTTGACCCCAGCACCAACCCGGACACTATGACCCTGGCTCCATCAGCACTTTAACCCTGACCCTGAATCTATAACCCCTAACCACCAACCCCCACAACTCCAATATCCACGCATTGTAGCCACATCCCTCTTACCGTGCAACGCAGAACCCTCAACCTGTGCCAAAACCCCAAATCTTAAGATTTTATAGCCACGCCTTCACCCACCTCGCACCCATCAACTGAATTGCTGAAAACTTCAACCTGACCCTGAAACTCTGGGTTTGGTTACCTGCAAAACATTCCCCGGCACAACAGGTGGAAAATATATATATATATCCGAATCAAAAGATGTCCAGTAGTTTCACAGATGTCCAGTAGTTTCACAGATGTCCAGTAGTTTCACAGATGTCAAGTAGTTTCACAGATGTCCAGTATTATATGTATCTCGCTGTGGCTGTAACTACTCGTAGTCACGTGCCTCGTCCAGTCCTTTCCATTGGCCCGTAATCTAGAGTCAGCGAGGGATTATCAGAATCGGTATTTATACTGGAAGAATGAGATGTCTGGCAGGGGCGGGTCAGAACGCTACAACAAACAACACAACACACACGATAGGAGTGTAACGTATAGGAAAGACAAACAAATCGCTTTCACAAAAAGATACAAATAAAGCTAAGTAACTTTGTTTTATCTTACTAGCTAAAGCCCACTGGGGCATTGACTTATTTTTCAGACGCGACCTGGTAGCTCAACAAAGTGGAAATTGACAGAGGCAAAATCATCTCAATGCATGTTTCTTAATGTGGAGGGAAAACCCAGAGGACCCAGACTCTGAACACCAACCTATACTCTGCCCGAACCCTAGCACTGACCACCAACCTATACTCTGCCCCGAACCCTAGCACTGACCACCAACCTATACTCTGCCCCGAACCCTAGCACTGATCCGAACCCATACCACTCTCTTTGATAATAACAACAGACGCACAGCCCTTTGTCAATCCACTGCTGGATGGTCTCCCCCTACGCTGCGTCGTTCGTGGAGGTTGATTGACCATACTTCACCACGCCGGTCAGTGCGGGTTCGTGAAGGTGGTGAAGGAGGTGGACATTTTCACGGCCCGTTTCAGGCATCGCCCGCCACTGATGTTAGCCGTGACTGGGAATGACACTCACCCCAGCCGGTTTGGCAGAGTTGCTAGCGCAATGCGATAACCCCCCCCCCGCCCCGAGTCTATACGGTAAGTCCTCGTTTAACGCAGTGGATGCGTTCCGGGAAAGTGCCACGTTAAGCGGAAAACGCGTTTCAGAGATAAGCATAATATCCCCCCGTAAATAATGTAACAATAACGTGTGTCCAGGTGCAATGTAGCACCACCACTACGACTACTATCACGCACACCACGCAGTGAGGTGGCGGGACAAATAACTGAGGGATCGCCACCGCGTCACTGTGTCGTTCCGCGTGCTGTATCACTACACCGCTGAGCCGCGCAAGTCAAGAAAGTAGTTCGCCGTCGACCGCATCAGAAACCGCGTTATGACGGGCGCGCGCACCGCGTTATAGCGAGGGCTTCACCGCGTTATAATAAGTGTGTTATTATTTGAGCATTATTTATATAAGACATATCTCATTTGCCTTTTACAGTATTGTTGTTATATGGGTGGTAAAGTTAAACTAAATAAATAAAGCGCACTTTTTTTTTTAAAAGTGACATTCGCCTCTTGAAATGTTTTCTTGTTACGAACGAATTTGCCTTAGGGTAAAGTTAACGAGGGAAAACATCTGTAGATTTCATGAATTATTACAAAGATCACCCGTATCGCATTTTTTTAACAGACTGTTGGGGTAAGTGCTGTTAGCGAGCACACGAGGGGGTTGGGTGGCTAGCGCCACGCCCGACCGCCTTCGTCTCCCCCAGTGGCGATGTTTACACCGCACCAAGTACCCATTTGAGGCTGAGCCGACCTACATGAGTCCCAGGACTGGTCCAGATCATCGTTATTGGTGTCGGTGGTGGCCGCGAGCGGGAATCGAACTCGGGTCGCCGGGTTCGGGAGCGTAGCGCCGCGTACATCTCTATTGAAAACTCATTTCTTTACAACTGCTTTTTGTTTCTCTCTTCTGCGCGTTCGTTTGATGTCCTTCCCTCCCACCTCCGATCAGCCGCGGTTGGCTACGTACGGCGCGAAAGAAGTTCAACACACACGCGCGCACATACAGCGCGTGCCACCCTGAACGCTCACGTGTGATCCTCGCAGCCACCAGCGGCGGCTACATTCACAACGAAGTCGACTCACTGCCGGATTAAGCTAATGCGGGGCCTGTAGCATATGGTATGAAGGGGCACTAAAGTTAAACAAAAACTTAAATATTATAACCCACATTTTTTGGTTGCATAGTAAAGCAATGGCATTTTTTCATTTGCTATGCAGCCAGATAATACGACAAATCGCTAACCTTCAACACGCAGTCGTTCATAAAAGTCGAAGGTGGTATAGTACTATAGTAATAGAACAAGGGCAGAATCACTGAAGCGGGATTGGTAGCTTGAAAGCATTTAGCGCGGGGCCCTTGAAAGTGCAGGCCCGTAGCTACGACATATGTAGTAGCTACTACATACTACATGTGTAGTAGCTACTACACATGTATGTACACAGTGTAGTAGCTACTACACATGTGTAGTAGCTACTAGCTACACATGTGTAGTAGCTACTAGCTACTACACACTACACATGTGTAGTAGCTACTACATATGTGTAGCTACTACATATGGAGTAGCTACTACATACTACATGTGTAGCTACTACATATAGAGTAGCTACTGCATACTACATGTGTAGCTACTACATATGGAGTAGCTATGGTATGTGCAGCCACTTTTGCTACGAGGATCATCCAGCACTGCGTCGACTTACGGTGCCACCAGAGGGCAGTCCAACGCCTGAGACAACACAAACATTATTCCCCACGAGACTCTCAGCCGCACACTCACCATCACAGTGGCGCGTGTGTGTGTGTGTTTCCTTGAGGTGGATTGCTCGCAACTTTAGTGACGTGATAAGCCACTTTCGTTGAGCTATCATTTGTGGCCACGTAGCTTCTGAGCTACATAGCTCAGTGAGCCTTACCTGGTAAGATTTTTTTTTCAAAACGTTCATCGTAAAATAGTCAATATCATTACCCTTACTATTTTACTTTCTGCTTCACCCACATTGTAACTAATTCATCAGACGCCCGATACAATCCACATTGCTAGCGTGCATAATCCCCCGTGAAGTGTGTTCACTTACTCGGGTTTAATCGCGTGGGCGTTCACGGGTAACCACGACGTTCCCCCGGGGTGGATAGTTGTCCATCTCCTCGCGGTTCATGAGCACAGCGCGCGAGCGCGAGATCCCCGGGTAAGCTAAGCAGGCAGGCTGTGCTTTCTTAGCCTGGACAAGGCTGCCCGGATTAGGCGACCACCAACGCATAACACGCATTACAACGACGACGACGACAACGACGACCCACGCGGCTTGCTCGAGGCTACGGTGTGGCTACGTTACCGGGGCGTTCTCAGCAACGTCAATTGTTGTACCGTCCGTCGCCTGTGCTCCCGCGCCAGTGGCAAGCGCGCACTTGCTGTGGCTGCCGTTCGCCATCCCGTCCCTACGCCCACCGTGCGCCACAGCAGCATGACCGACCGGCGTGGTGAAGTATGGTCGAACAAAAACGAACAAACTCACCCACCCCCCCACCACCCACACCCGATCCATCCAGCAGTGGATTTGACCAAAGTTAAGTTTTCGCGTTGCACGGGCGCGCTTGTGTTTGTCGGCGCTGCTCACGGCAAGGTGCTCGCGTTCGGCTGGCGCTATCGACTCTGCACGTGGTTGCCGGATTCTCGGTGAGACCCATTTGCGAGTCGGCGCGTCGACCAGACTTGGGCCACCGCATGCGGCTCCAGGGGCCACATGCGATGGCTCTTTAAGGGCTGCGGTGGCGGCTCGCTTTGAAATTCGAAAACAAAAATCGGTTATTCCTCTTTGGTTCTTTCGGTAAGGTCACGTAAAATGAGAATAAAATAATAAAATAACACAATAAAATTATCACGACGTTTCGGCCACAACGCAAGCGGCCGTCTTCAGGTGAAAGGTACAGACCTTACCGAAAGAACCAAAGAATATGGTTCTTCTTATTCTTGGTTCTTTCGGTAAAGTGACGTAGAAGGGAAACAATAAAATTATAAAAAATATAAAACAATAAAATTCTCACGACGTTTTGACTGCAGCACAAACAATCATCATCAGGTGTGAAAACCACAGCAATTTTTTTGGAAAAAGTTTGATTTGTTTTTTTAATGCTGTGGTTTCACACCTGATGGTGATTGCTTGTGTTGCAGTCGAAACGTCGTGAGAATTGTATTTTTTTTATATTTTTTATTATTTTATTGTTTCCCTTCTACGTGACTTTACCGAAAGAACCAAGAATATGAATCCTTGCAGTCACGAAAGCTTTAAGTACCTATTCTTATACTTCTACCGGATCTAATTTTTTTTTAAAGTTATTTGCTCACGTTGTATTAATGAGGGCCCGATGGCAGCACTGGAGCATCTGAGCTATAATCTCAGAGACAAGGAAGAAGAATACACAGCGTGCATGGGGTCCATCCCTGACCCTTAGAGGAGTCCTAAATACTTGAGCCCAGAAGGGCAATGATCTGGCCAAGCCCCCAACCCCCGGCCTGCTGTGACGAGTCCGGTGTGCCCGATAGCGTCGATGCAATTGGTCGTGCCGTCCAGAATGTCAGGATGTTGCAATGTACAATGTGATGAAGGAAGTGGAATAACACTTATATTTTTGAATATATGTTAAAACAAGTTATTTGCTTTACCTATTCATTTTAGGTGTCACTGCTATCGTCTTTTTTGTATTTTGTTTGTCGTTGTAACGTTCTGACCCGCCACTAGTGGGCATCTATTGTAAAAAAAAATAGCATAATCGCTCATGGGATTCCTGCAATATAAATAAAGATTCTGATTCTGATCCACGTGATCCTCTCCCTGTTCTCTCAATGGCATTCCAAGCATGGCAGCCCTCTTTCCAATGCTTCTGTGCACACTTTTTAACTCTTGTTCCATTTCCTTTAACAGTGCCCGTACTTTTAATACAAAGCCTGGCCGGTACTTTGCACTAATTACAAGACGCACATTCTATTCTTCGGAATCTTGTTCCTTTAGAATGTCGATGGGTAATGTACTCAGCAGCGTCGAGGCACGATATTTCTCGGATGGGCGACCGCCACGCATCGCTGCTGGACGGCAGCAGAGGGCAGTGTGCAGCTTACGACGTCACTCCTGTCGATTCCAAACATGCTGTACGGCGTGTTTGGAATGGCTTTAAAAGTTGCATAATTATCTCCTGCAGATGTAGATGCACACTGGTGTTTTTGTGTTCGGTAGATGCCACTGGTTCTTCGTGTTCTGCAGGTGTAGATGCCACTGGTTCTTCACGTTCTGTAGATGTAGATGCCGCTGGTTCTTCACGTTCTGCAGATGTAGATGCCACTGGTTCTTCATGTTCTGCAGATGTAGATGACAGTGGTTCTTCATGTTCTGCAGATGTAGATGCCACTGGTTCTTCACGTTCTGTAGATGTAGATGCCACTGGTTCTTCACGTTCTGTAGATGTAGATGCCACTGGTTCTTCGTGTTCTGCAGATGTAGATGCCACTGATTCTTCATGTTCTGCAGATGTAGATGCCACTGGTTCTTCATGTTCTGCAGATGTAGATGCCACTGGTTCTTCACGTTCTGTAGATATAGATGCCACTGGTTCTTCACCTTCTGTAGATGTAGATGCCACTGGTTCTTCGTGTTCTGCAGATGTAGATGCCACTGGTTCTTCATGTTCTGCAGATGTAGATGCCACTGGTTCTTCATGTTCTGCAGATGTAGATGCCACTGGTTCTTCACGTTCTGTAAATGTAGATGCCACTGGTTCTTCACGTTCTGTAGATGCCACTGGTTCTTCACGTTCTGCAGATGTAGATGCCACCACCACCATCTATTGCGCGGCGATTTAACTTACGACTCTCGGTCCGAACAGGCAGCTGGACGTACGGACCAGGTTGGTTCGCATCTCTGAAAGTTCGTACGTCGAATGCTCGTAATTGAGGAGTCCCAGTCCTGCCCAACTTCACCAACCCGCATTGACCAGCGTGGTGAAGCATGGCCAATGAACCCCCCACGATGTGAACGGTGTTGGTGGGGAGGGCGTGGGAAGAGTGCCTCATCCAGAAGTGTATTTGCAAAAGCACTCTGTGGGAACAAAAGGCAAAGTTGGTCAATTTTTTCCATGGTAAACTGGGCAAGTGCGGTTAGCGAGCACCTATTATGGTGGGCACAGCACACGCACGACACCCGCCTTTGTATCCCCAGCGCTGATGTCCAAACACCGCACATTCAAGGCTGAGTCGACCTAGGTTAGGGGACGTCCAGTGACCGGTTCGGATAATCGTCACCGGTTTTGGTGGCCGTGAGCGGGAATCGAACTCGGGTTGCCACGCTGCGCTCACAACCGCTGCGCCACCGCTCCCTCCCTCCCTCCACACGTCTTCGCGCACTGTCTCTCTGCTACATACATCAATCCCTGGGGTTCCGTGCGAAATAAATACGCTTCTTGAAATGTGTATTTTTGTGTCCGTAAACGTTTATTAGGGAAAGT